GAAACATTCGATTGTATCTAGAGTTTAAGTTTGTTGCGTTTGTTTTTTTTTTGTTAGAGAGCAAAAAGAAGAACAAAAAAACAAAGCATGCAGGCAATGTTGTATCACACACACGCACACACCTCTCTCGCTGCCGACTCAGATGGAGCTGAGCAGCACGAGAGAGAAAAGAAAAACAAAAATAAAAATTTAATACTTTTTAAATATATTTAACTAAAAAGCAACAAACAACGACAGCATTTCTTACTCTGTAGCAGCCATCGGCCCCCCCGAGCCCCCAGGCAAGCGGGGTGTATATACTGCGTCAACGGCATCTTCTTGTAGAGGAACTAGAACAGAATTATAATAATAAAGATAAAACAAAATATATTTAGAATATATTCACCTTAATAGAAGAACAAAAAGCTGAGAAACCTTCTGTGTTTATTTGCAGTATCGGAACCACTGCTGCGGTGTACGTACACCTCGTTCTCCGCCCACAATGCAGCAATTTCCGTTTTTTTTTGGTGTTTTCGACTTGTTTAAACTGAATTTTGCATGAATAAAGTTATAAATATGTTTTTATTAATTTAAAACTCTAATGATGCATGCAAGAATAACATTTTTTCACAAATTCATCGGCGCACAGAAGACCACCGGGCTGGTGCACTTGAATACAGGTGTTGCAACAGCAATGGAAAGCTGTACGATTCTCCTTTTTGTGTGTTTCTTTTGCAGATATTATTGAACTATTTCATATAAAATTAAATATTTTACCTTTTCCCTCACTCGAGGGTTTGTATTCCCCTCAGGTTTATTAGCAACCGGCTTCCACTCTCCACCATCACCTACTGGCATTCAGCCTCTCGTCTATGCGACGGCTCTGAGACGACGGTAACCCCCGATCTTCAATATTTTCCTGCATTTCTTGTATTTTTCTCTTATTAAAAAACATTACACAGGCCTCAGCTTCCTGGTTTCTCAGGATACTGCAGCTCTATACTCTCTGCACGCCGACTTGAACAGCCAACGCCACAGCCGCAACTCAACAGAAGAGGTGCCGAGACACTGCAACTTGGGGCTTTGCAGCAGTCGTTGCATGCATTCAGAAGCATTTCTGTCACTATCATCAACCGCAGCAGCAGCAACAGCAGCAGCAGCAGCAGGAGCGACAGCAGCAGTACTATCATCAGCAGCAGCGTCGATACAAACTGCAGCAATAGGAAAATATCAACAGCAGCAACAGCAGCAACATTATTTTTTCGTTTTACCCTTTTTTTTTTCTAAGTTTCTGGTTTTTTTTTTCTCTGTTATGTTTGCTTTAAACAAAAAACCTGCAATGAAAAGCCGCAGCAGCAACGAATACAGCGGAGCTGCGGTGTATGATCAGCTGCCCCTCAAGGCCGATGATGGAGACTTGCAGGCGTGAGTAGCAACACCTTCGAACACCTTTTAAAGTCTTCATTTTTACCTGCAGCAGCAGCAGCAACACCAGCAGCAGCAGCAGCAGCAGCAGCAGATACAGCAGTAGCAGCAGCAGCAGCAGCAGTTACAGCAGCAGCAGTAGTAACAGCAGCAGCAGTTACAGCAGCAGCAGTAGTAACAGCAGCAGTAACAGCAGCAGCAGTAGTAGTAGTAGTAACAGCAGCAGCAGCAGCAGCAGCAGCAGCAGCAGCAATAGTAGTAGTATTTGTAGTGGTCGCCAGTTATTGTTGTTTGTGAGACGAGAGCAGCAGCTGTTGTTTCTTTTGTTTCATTTTGTTTTTTATTTTGTTGTTTTATTGTGTTGTTTTGTTTTGTTTTTTCTTTTTTATTGTTTTATTTTTTATTTTTTTTGTTTTTATTTTTTGTGGATTGTGGTGACAGACAAAAACAAAAAGGAAGAAAGGCTGCTCCTTCAGCAGAGAAGAAAATCAAAGTAGGGCGGAGATAAACTAAACTTTTTTTTTATTTTTGTTTGTCTTTTTTATTTGTTTTGTTTCTTTTTATTCTATTTCATTTTGTTTTTTTATTTTTTATTTTCTTTGTATTGAGTTTGTCTGCTGCATGCATGCGCATACACCCCAATCTCAATTGAAAAAGAACTTCGGGTGTACAGGCAGCTTGCATGCATGCAGTGGTGTGTTTTTTTTTATTGGTTTGTTTTTTTTTTTTTTTTTTTTTTTTTTT